GGACAGTATGGGCTGGGCCAAATTAAATGATTTTTATAATTCTGAGCAGGTTACCAAATGAAATGTCATGGCTTTACTTTGATCAATTAAAGGGGGGATTTTTTTTTTAATGTGCCTTATTTGTTTTGAATTATGACTGATCTGACAAAGGCAGAAGTATATGCTGGGCTGAAAATAGGATAACCATCCTCATCCATGTTCTTGGCTTTCTAAATGAATCAAATTGTGGAATTCTTTTTTAGATCAGGAAAACTATCAAGGACTAGCTCAGATCCTACATGTATAAGCAGTTTTGTTATGGTTTTTACATTGCAGCACCTAGTACGATACCTTGCACATACTGTGTAAACTTTTGTCAGATGAATAAATATGGGACCACAGAAATGCCATTTCCGGGCAGGAAAGAGAGCTTTGTTGCTAGGATGTCTTGTTCAGTTTCTCTTGTCCTTAGAGACTCTTTGACTTCATAATGGACAGAAGGTACTTAGCCAGACCTGATCTCAACAAGTACTTCAAGGGATAGCCAGGGTTTCTGGTTTCTTTTTTGAAGCAGGAATAAATCAAGTGTGACAAAATCAGTGGTTTTGAAGAGTGATGACAAAAATGAAATTACTGTTATCAGCACAGAGGAAGAAACCTTTCCAACACTACATATAGGGCTTAATAAGATACTTTGAATCAACTTAAATATACACAACTCTTTGAAATCTAGCTTTTCATGTACTCACTATCCATGACACAATAAGTTGCCCTTTTCTTATATTCTTTAGACTCACTAAATCTGTGGTTATTCAAGGAGAGTTATTTTCTTTATTAATCTCTGCCTATTTGTTATTCTATGCTATGAAAGAAAAAATCTCAGTTACTTGGTTTTGAAACTCTTCACATAAAGCCACAAAATAGAAGGGGGGATTATTCTTAATAGGTACTGATTGTAAAAATGACTTTAAAAGCTTTTTAACTCAAAAGCACTGTGATTCATGCATATTTAATGTCATGACAAATAGCCTTATATAAATAAGTACGGTCAGATGTTGTGTTTTATAACATAAGACATATCACTGGTGTATATAGACTGCAAGTCATTTAAAAAAACGAGGTAACGTGTTACCTGGTTCAAAAAATAGGAATTGTACGGCTTTTAGATTAAGTCAAAATGGTGCTGCCAAAGGAGAGCTTGGTCTGCTTGTATACCCAGGGAATGTGGCCTTCTAAGCCAGTTTCTGTATCCTGTGCTTCAACTTTGGGTGAGATTTAGATTTTATATAAGAATTGGTGTACCACATGTAAATACAATATTTGATTTATATATAGAATTCTTCCCTGCTGAAGATGTTATCCTAACTTACATTTTCCAGTATGAGTAAATAGCAGCTGTTGCTCAGAGGATTTTAATTTTGTTACTTTCTAGGCTGCAAGAAGATATCTTTTTTTTTTTTTTGGTTAAGATTTATTTATTTTTCTTGGAAAGGTAGATGTACAGAGAGGAGTTGAGACAGAGAGGAAGATCTTTCGTCCGATGATTCACTCCCCAAGTGAGTGCAACGACCAGTGCTGCACCGATCCGAAGCCAGGAGCCAGGAGCTTCCTCCAGGTCTCTCACACGGGTGCAGGGTCCCAAGGCTTTGGGCCAGCCTCTGTTGCTTTCCCAGGCCACAGGCAGGGAGCAAGATGGAGGTGGAGCTGTCGGGATTAGAACTGGTGCCCATATGGGATCCCAGCAAGTTCAAGGCAAGGACCTTAACCACTATATCATGCTGGGCCCAAGAAGATACCTTCTTAAATTTGAGTTTTCACTTTTTATAATACACTTAGTGTAAAAAAAAACTCAGAACAGTTCAAATAAATAGCAACACTGTTTTCTACTTTTCAGAGGTAACTTTCAACTGCATTGATGTACACATTTGTTATTTTCACATAAGTAAGCCATTTGCTTTATTTTGCCACTTTGGTTTTTCAATTTTAGGCACCATGTTTTTGGTTTTTCAATTTTAGGCACCATGTATCAACTTTCATGGTGTTGAAACTGTTTTTAGCATTATTTTACTCCAATGGATACACATTTTTACCATCTTCTAATTATATTTATCACAGTTTTAATTTTATAATTTGATTTAGTACTATTCTATTATAATTTAGATTATACCATTATTCAGAGTAAGCAATGTTTTATAACAATTTTTCTTCCCATGTGTTGTTTTTTTAGGGAATTTTTTCGCTTGTATTTTTGTGCTAGTAATTTATCTTCAGATTTTCCATAATTTGTGCCAGCCTCCTTTTAGTATCTTCAGACACACTCAGTTTTCATGTTTAGGTGTGTTTTTGGTTTGGATATAATCCAGTTTGGTTTGGCTTTACTCTCCAAGTTTGTTGCACATCTCTTGGGTATGTGTTAAAATCCTCCCTTACCCTTCCCTTCCTTTCTTTTCTAACATTTATTTATTTGAAAGGTAGAGTGACTTAGCATGGTAGCTCAGTGGCTAAACTCCTCCCCTTGCATGTGCCAGGATCCTATGTGAGCGCTAGTTCATGTCCCAGCTGCTCCACTTCCCATCCACTCCCTGCCTATGGCTTGGCAAGGCAGTAGAGGACAGCCCAAACCTTGAGACCGTGCACTCTTGTGGGAGACTCAGAAGAGGCTCCTAGCTTCGGCTCGGCTCTGGCCATTGTGGCCACTTGAGGAGTGAACCAGTGAATGGAACATCTTTCTCTGTTTCTCCTTCTCTTTGTAAATCTTTCCAATAAAATAAGCAAACAAATCTTAAGAAAGAAAGAAAGAAAGAAAGAATGACAACAGGCAAATAAGAGACAGAGAGGGATATACTGTTCATTTGCTAAATCAGTCTCCAAAAGCCACAACTGACTGGGCTGGCCAAGCCAAAGCCAGGAATGGGGGAGTCCTTGGCAGCAGGAGCCCAAGCGCTTAGGCCATCTTCAGTGGCTTTCCCAGTACATTCATTAGTGGGGAGCAGATTCTAAGTGGACCAGCAGATGGACTTGAACCACCACTCTAGAGTAGGTGATGCCTGCCTCCCAAACAATATTCCCCACCGCCCCACTCTGCTTCCTCTTTTTTACCACTTCTAAGTACCACTTCCTGAGAAAATGTGTGAAGATCAATTTCTTGGAATATTGAATGTTTCTTGTCACATTCTATTAATTGGTTGGCTGGGTATAAAATTTCAGGTTGAAAATAGTTTTACTTTGGGAGTATTGTGAAGGCATTGGCCCACTGTTATCTTCTAAATACTGATTAATGAATGCTGTCCTGAATATTTTTTTTTTGGCATGTCTGTTCCCTCCCACTCTCATTGCAGACCTCTTAAAGTCTTCTCTAAAATGTTTTACATTTTTTCCAATAATGTATTTTGAGCAAGTCATTCATTTTGCTAACTGCTTTGAGTTTTTACATATGGAAAATCAAGTTCTTTGGTTTTGGCAAATATTCTTGTAATTCATGTGGGTTCCACCAACTTTCTTTCTGAAAAATACGCTTATTTTGATGTTGAACCTTCTGAAATAATCTAATATAAATTCTTCTTTCTTCTGGGGCACTTCCTCAACTTTATTTTTCTATTTAATATATTCTTTTCTTCTATAATTTTAGTGGTTAAGAGCTTTTTGTGGGGTTAAATATTCCCTTGTTTTGACATCTTTCCAATTAAAGACTTTCTCAAATTTTTGGTTGTCTGCTTTTTTGACTTGGATCCTAAAAAGCTCATTGGAAGATCTGCTAGGGGCAGAACTTACTGACATCGGTGACAATCTATTGTGATTGGGCTAGACCATTAAACTGGGAAATTCCTGACAGGAATATTTTGTTTCAGATACGTAAGAGCAATTCGAAAAGGTTTGTCAGCTTTCTGGGAAAGATTTCAAAGGCTCGACTTTGCACAAAGTCAGTCCCTCTGCTTTCAGAAAGGTCCTGAGGCAGAAGCCATCTGCGCAGCCCAGTTCATAGGCCGTGTATTTACCCTCTCCAGTCTTACACCAGTTTTGTTAATGAGATCACTGGTGCCTGGAGGAAAGGGGATAAGGGCCAGTCTACACTGTTTTTAGCCTCACTTTGTCCTTAACTTAGACTCACCAATTCAACTTGAACCTTTTGGGATTTCTGAGATGTAAATCGAGTTGCTTCTCGGCTGATTCGCGGCTACCTTTTGGGTTCACCTTTATTTAAGTCAGTACCTTTCAGCTAAATGTTTTCCACTTTCTAACATTTTCTCATTATCCATTCTCTTAAATATCCTTTACTATTGTTTTAGTGAGGGTTCAGAAGGGAACATCAATTCTCATGTGCCACCTCATATATACTGTCTGATATCCTGTTTGAATCTGCATACCCCCCCTTTTTTTTTTAGGCTAGAAAGACATCAGTTCTATCCAGACTACATAGGAACTGTGCGAGTCCTTTCCCTTTTCTAAAGCTACATTTATTTGCAAGGCATGGTGACAGATTTTGCATCCATTGGTTCACTCACTCCCCAAAGTCCCACACCTAGTGCTGGTCCAGCCAAACACGGTCTTGCGGGTGGCAGGGGCCCAAGATCCAAGTACTCGGACTGACTGACACCCAGGTGTGGAGCAGGACGCAGGACTGGGTCTCGAACAGGCGCTCTGACAACCTGCGGCACCGCTCACTGCCTTTACCTCACTTCTCACGTTCAACTCCTGGCTCTTACTCCGGAGTCTCCTTCCTCACAGGGCGTCGTCTCCAGGACTAGGAGGGCCGCAGCACCGGGTCCTGCTGGGCAGGTCTGCAGCCGGCGCTTCCTCGGCGGTGACCGAGCACGGCGGAAGCCCAGCCACGTCGGCCCGGTCGCCAAGGCTCGGCGATGTGAGGGGAAACGTTCCCTACTCCTCAGTCAGGGACCGTCGGGACCCCCGGGTCACTCGGCCACGGGCGGCAGAAACGCCTCTCAGAAAGCCCTGCGGCTGCAGCCAATCTTCAGCCGAGGCCGCCATGGAAACGCGCGGCCGTGCTTTACGGCAAGGGTGCGCTCGTTTGCGACGCCGTGACGCGACCAAGTTTTGGCGGGAAAAGCGCCGCATTCGGATTCCCGAGGTGGTGGGCAAAGGACAGGCTGGTGAGGAGGAGTGGCCGGTTGGGTGGGAAGGGAATCCGGGGAAGCGGTTCGGAGGTTAGTGTGGCAGGGCATGATGAGGAAAGTGTCGCCGACGGGCGAGGAAGACAGGAGGGACTTGGCGCGGAGAGGCGGGTTCGGGGGGTGGAGGAGTGCCGTGCCAGGGCGTCCCCGCTGCGGGAGCGCTGCGGCGTCGGGGGCGGAGGAGTCGGCCACTCTGCGGCCGGGGGGCCCGGAGGCCTGGGCGCCGTCCTTCCGCCTCTCGGGCCAGCGCGGCCCCGCCCCGGGCTCCTCCCGGCCTTGGGGACCGGGGCGAGCGGAGGAGGGGCTGCGGGCGGCCGGCTTCCCTGGACCCTCTGCCGGCCGCGGCTCAGGGCGTCCCCGGAGAGCGTTGGCCCCTGCAGCACCCTGCGCGCCGCGGGATCTCCTGGGGGCCCGGGGGTGGGCACAGAAAGCCAGCGTTCGGGGAACATGCTGCGGTTTGAAGGCTGGGATAAACGTGGATGAGATCTTGAGGGGAAAGCAGCAGAAGCTGGGGGACCCAAAGCTCGGTGGCTTCATCGGTGACAGGCGCCCACACCCATTCCCCGTACTGACCGGGTTCCTGTGTTTTACAGTCGTGGTTCTTGGTAGAGTCATGGCAGTGCCCTTTGTGGAAGACTGGGACTTGGTGCAAACCCTAGGAGAGGGGGCCTATGGAGAGTGAGTCTGAATCTTTATTTTTCTTGGCCTTCATTTCCTATCTGTTGCTTGAGTGCACGTTCGTTGTTTCACTGTTTGGAATTGTACTACTCTAATTCATCCAACTCTAGAGAGTAGACATTTACAATTGCAATGCAAGACTTATGAAGTCATACTGTCTGTTGTGAACACACACACGCACACAAATATGTTTTGCTGGCTTTATTTTTTTTTGTTTGTTTCTAACATTTCCTTTGTAAGGAGCCGGAATAAATCTGCAAATCCAGGGTTCCCCTCCCACATACACAATCTTGATAAGCTTAGTGGTTCAATGAGTAAAAGAACACACAGCCTGCACATAGCCTGCCTAGTTTCAAATTTTCATTCTGTCACATTGTAGTTGTGTGATCTTAAGCACTCTTCCCAAGTGTCTGTGTACTTGACCTGTAAGGTGGTGGTAATGGTACCTACTCCATGGATGCTTAGAACATTACTATAGGCATGACTAGCATAAAATTGATAAATGTTAGATCATGCTGTTAACATTGCATGGATGTAGGATGTACATACTAGGTATCCAAAGATAGCTTATGATTTTATTGTGTGTGTCCAACATACTTTTTTTTTTTAAATTTATGTGTTTATTTTAGAAACAGAGACCTCCCATCTGCTGCTCTGTGGCTGACCCACTTTCAGCATCCTGGCCTGGCGCTGCCCAGGTTAGGAGCTGGGACACTCGCCAGTCTCTCTTGCGGTATAAACCCAGCTGCTTGAGCCGCATTAGCAGTAAGCAGAAGTCAGGAGATGAGTTAGATATTTTTACCTAGGCACTCTGATTTGCGGCATCGACATCTTAAGCTTCATCTGAAAACCTAGGCGAAATGCCTGTCCCCATGATGACTGTTGAAGTATTGTAACCGTTTATGTTTCAGAAATGAGTAGTATCAGTCGAAGACATGGCAGAAACCATTTCCTTGGTTTCTTTTTAATGGAGGAAGTAGAAATTAAAGGCATCATGTTTAATCTTGAAAATTTGAGAGAAATGATGTCAGAAGATCTGGAATGTTTTAGCTGTTTTTCCTTTTTTAGGGTTCAGCTTGCTGTAAATAGAATCACGGAAGAGGCAGTCGCTGTGAAGATTGTGGACATGAAACGTGCCATAGACTGCCCAGAAAATATCAAGAAAGAGATCTGTATAAATAAAATGTTAAATCATGAGAACGTAGTGAAATTCTATGGTCACAGGCGAGAAGGCAATATCCAGTATCTATTTTTGGAGTACTGTAGTGGAGGAGAGCTTTTTGATAGAATAGGTATGTAAAATATTTGATAATCTGTGTTTCTAAATTTGTTTTAACCTTGAGGAGTTACTTGGTCCTTGTCCTTTCAGAATTACTAATGCAACAGTGAAATTGGAATAAGTTTAAATTGTCTTTTTTTCTTGGCAGCTTGTACTAACACGTGAAAGTGTATATAGAATCACTGAAAGAAAACTTCTTTTTTCAAGTGATACAAGATTTTTTTAAATCAAGATCACCATTTTATGTAGTTTAATGAATTATTTCATGATGAAATATAAATGCAACATTGTTGCTTTGTATAATTCCTTATAGAGATTATAGTTACATGAAATCATATACACATTTACATATCAAACATGTTTTAATATTCCTTTTTTAAGGGAACTAATTGGGAATTTTCTAGGACTGCTTTGTGTATATTCAGTAAATTATATTTGCTACTCATGCAAATTAAGCATTGGTACTGCAGAACACTTAGAAGTGCATGTAATACTTTCTGTGAATCTAACTTTGTTATTTAAAGCTAATTTACTAGCATTACTAGAAGATTTAATGTGTGAATTTCAAGAGGAAGTTGAAGGTAATGGAAATCTAGAGTTACTTGTAAAAGGATAATGGTCAATAGAACATTTCTTAATGATACTGTTTTGAAGAAACTTTATATTCATGGATTTGTAGTGTGAGAAACTGTGAAATTTAGGACTGTTAAATACGTAGTGATACTGGCGTGTATAGCTCTAGATTTCCACATTAGCAATTATATTTCAGAAGTGTAAAAATCTTTGCCTTAGCATTTATAAGAAATAGAGGAAAATTTGAAGGACACCAAATAAATCAGGATAATTTTAACATTATGCAGAAGCTTTTGAAGCATAACTTGCAGTCTTGAGTTGGTGGTGGCTTGTTGTTGCTCTGTAATATTCCTCTGGTATTAGTTTATTTTTGACATTTAGCCAATGAGAAAATACGTGTTCAATACTGCGCATGTTGGTTGACTCCTGAATCTTCTGTTCATGTTAAGATTCTGTTTGCTAAAGTACAGTCATGAATGTCAAGAAATTTTGACTTGAGAAATTGTGGTTGATACCTAATTATGTTTATCCTGTAAACTAAATGTCATCATTAATTCTTGCAGAGCCAGACATAGGCATGCCTGAACAAGACGCTCAGAGATTCTTCCATCAACTCATGGCAGGAGTGGTAGGTACAGTTGTCTATTTTCTTTTTACTTAAACTTAGAAGGAATGAAATATCAAATTCTGGTGTGTTTGCATCTGCCTCTCCCTTAGGTTTATCTGCATGGTATTGGAATAACTCATAGGGACATTAAACCAGAAAATCTCCTGTTGGATGACAGAGGTAAGTTTATCATTTTCTAAACGCTGCCTCTGTTATTACCGCCATGCAAGGTGGGATCGAGGCTTTTGTGTTACTAAGGGCAGAAAATCTGAGAAATCAAGGAACAGTACAAGACTCAATCTATTTGGACTAAACAAGGCTCTCATTATCGATGTAGATGACGGAGGGAAATCTGACCCTGAGCAGGGGCCGCTCACTAGATGAATAAATGTAATATTTGTCTCAGTTCTTCAATAGAGTAATAAAGCTAAGACTCTTTTGTAATGTCCTGGATCTTAGCCTTGGCCTAGTTAGATAAAGATACAAGAAAATTAGTTACTTTATGGATGCCATTTAATGAGAGAGATGGTTAGTAAAAGTGTGAGATTGTAGACTGAGGATTTAAAAGCTGTCAGCTGTGTGAGGAAGTAATTTTTGTTTTGTTTAATGCTCTATAGCAAAAAAGTAAGCTTTCAAAAGTATTTACAAGTGAGTGAATTTGACAAATAAGAGAGATAGATAAATCGAGTAAGTTGCTTTGTATAGGAAAAAAATATGAAATCCAACATTTGATTTGAGGAAACTAACCAAGTGCAGTGGAGTAATATGCTATTGGCAGCAAAACAGATTTAGAAGGACATTTATGAAGCAACAAACTTGACGCTTGTCACTGTGATTTGTTCACATAACGCGAAGTGGTGTCCGTAATAACGAATGTAGCAGTCTTGTACTACTCTGGTGGTGCTGCTGGGGCAGTAATGGGTTTCCTGTGAACCACGCTGTGACAAGCTTGTGACTGCCAAAAAACTTACCAGAGGGTGACCTGAATGATAAAAGGACTATGTACTGTGCAAAATAAAAAATTATTAGAAGAATTTAGGGAAAAATCTGCTGATTATTAAATGTGGTTTTTCAGAATATATTGATGAAAACTACATGGGAAAAGTTAGCATTTGTGACCTCCATGAGTGGATCTGTTCAAAAATTGAACAGATTTCTGTGGAATATGGCAAATTGTTTATTTATTCTTAGACATTTTTGTGATGAAGTTTATTTAAAAAGTGAAGAAATCACAGAAACACATTCAGAGTTAGAGTGGAGACAGAGGGGGAAAGGTGAGAGAGAGAGGTTTCTGTTTTTATCTTGTGTCTATGGGGAGACAGGGTACGCCTCCCATTGCCTGGCTTCTTGTGAGCCTGGGACGGGGACTGGTTATATAATACCATTCCACAGTCCCAGATTAGGGGGTGCACAAGCTGAGGAAGGGGTCATTTGACCAGCAAGTATATAGACTGTACTACATAGTGTGGAGGGGTGTGTAATAGCTTTTAGTTTGTGAATCTAAGTTTCCTATCTGTCTGTTCCATTTCTTCCTGAGATTTCAGACCCCTGTTAATAGTTACTGAAGGATGCACTTTCATCTCATGTTCTCTGCTTCCTTCTGATCGGGGTATAGGCCTTGGGTGTCCCAGGTTCAGAATGAGCCAGATAAAGTAGCTGGTAACAGTGGCTGTATCCCCCACACTGTCATTGCCACTACAAGTTGCTCTCATTTTTTTTTTTAATATTTATTTTTATTACAAAGTCAGATGTACAGAGAGGAGAGACAGAGAGGAAGATCTTCCATCTGATGATTCATTCCTTAAGTGAGTGCAACGGCCGGTACTGCGCTGATCCAAAGCCAGGAGCCAGGAACTTCTTCCAGGTCTCCCACACAGGGTGCAGGGTCCCAAGGCTTTGGGCCGTCCTCGACTGCTTTCCCAGGCCACAAGCAGGGAGCTGGATGGGAAGTGGAGCTGCTGGGATTAGAACCGGCACCCATATGGGATCCCGGCGCGTTGAAGGTGAGGGCCTTAACCACTAGGACACTGTGCTGGGCCCCAGCATTTTTATGTCTTTTGAAGTGGCATCTCAGGGCCTCAGCTGGCTCAGAGGAGCAGGCTGATTAGTCCTTTGTGGGAAACTGGGCATGAACCTCTCCCCAGGACAGGAGGCAGCGTAGGAGGCAGCACAACATAACCCTACTATCTGGTCCTCGGGACAGGAGATGGATGTGGTGAATTTTTATAACATTAAACTCAAATACTGGATAATTAGGTGTCAGGAATATTTAAAGGGAATTTAAAAGCTTGGCTAGTTGGGCCAATGTACTTTCCAAGATCTTGTGCAACAATGAGGTTTATTTTTTTAGCCTTCTGCAAGCTTTTTCATAAGGCACACAATAAAATTTATTAGATATTTAGAAAATATGGCATGTGAGAAGCAATATTGTAGGGTGGCCTGTTGAGAAAGGAAAGTGCAGCACAGGTGGAAGTCAAGCTACATAAACCCCTCTGGCAAAGGGGCACGTGTCTGTAAGTATGAGAAGTGACATAGCAGTGTTAAGAGAGTGAGCTTTTAAGTCATCTGATTGTGGATTTGATGTAGGCCACATAATACCATATCCTTAAGTTTTAAACTTACTATGTGCAGTTCTCTGTATAGTGTTAAATTGCAGACATAGTATATAACAACATAGTCCAAGGAATAGTATAGTCATTCATGAGTAGTTTAAATGATTACCCCTTATAAGAGACTGACACATTATTTTAAAGATTTATTTTAGGACCCGACACGGTAGCCTAGTGGCTAAATCCTCACTTGGGATCCCAAATGGGCACCAATTCTAATCCTGGTTGCCCTACTTCCCATCAAGTTCCCTGCCTGTGGCCTGAGGAAGCAGTAGAGGATGGCCCAAAGCCTAGGGACCCTCCACATACATGGGAAACTGAGGGGAAACTCGTGGCTCCTGGATTCAGATCAGATCACCTCCAGCCCTGGTAGCCATTTGGAAAGTGAACCAGTAGACAGAAGATCTTTCTCTCTGTCTCTCCTCTCTATATACCTGACTTTCCAATAAAAATAAATCTTGAAATAAAAAATATTTATTTATTTATTTTATTGGAAAGTCATATCTACAGAGAGAAGGAGATACAGAGAGTAAGATCTTCCGTCTGCTGGCTGACTCTGCAAGTACCCACAACGGCCAGAGATGAGCTGGTTCGAATCCGGGAGCCAATAACTTCCTCTGGGTCTCCCGTGTGAGTGTGGGGTTCCAAAGTTTTTGGGGGGTCACCCTCTGTTGTTCTTCCAGGCCACAAGCAGGGAGCTGGCTGGAAAGTGAAGTAGTTGGGACACAAACTGGCAAATAAATGGGATGCTGGCTCTTGTAGGGAGAGGATTAGCCAGTTGAGTCATCGTGCCAGCCCCATAACCTAGACTTCTTCATCTAAATGGTTTCTTCACATTGTGTCAACCAGGTAGCTGTTGAAAGAATACAGATAGCTGTTTAAAGATAAAATACTCTAGCTACCTCTGAAATCAAATGCAAGTATCAGGAGTGCTCAAATATTACATTGTTGTGAATGTCCTTGGTTTTTAAGGAATTTGTCACCTAGATGAGACATTGTAACTTTCTGACATAAGTACAATAATGATGCCCCTTCTTTATGTTTGAGTCATGTTATGATAAAAATTGTGCACATCCCTGTTTGTCAGTGAATGTGAATGTAACTTGTTTTTTTAAGCAGTTATCTCCATAGTTTTCATTGTACACATATTTTACAAAACTTGATATTTTATTTACAGATGGATATATAAGTTGTTTATAAATAGTATTGCTTTAAATATACTTAAGTTTATGAGTTTGTGGGATTGTTTCCATGGAAGTGGTCTTAAAAGAGGAACATGCTAGTTCTAAGAGTGAATATTCAAATTTTGACATCTTTTGCCTCATGGCCCTCTAACACGGTTTTACTGGTTAACACTTCTGATTATAGATGGCTTTCCCTGACTTGTCAGTTCTCGGTTAGATCCTTGTTGTCCTCTATATTTTTATAACTTTTCATTGCAGTTGTCTACTGTCAGTCTTTTTCATTGATTTATCTACTACTTGATACTGGCTGGCACAGTGTCTGCCATTCATTTACAGCAGTATTTGTCAGGTGTAAGGTGGGTTGGACATCCTGCCTGCGGTGTTCCTGATGTATAGCTGTGGCCTCCTCCCTGTCCTCTGTTGCCTGATGAAAGGTGCTGCTCTGCTCTCAGCAGTTTGGAGTACTCTTTTGAGTATTCATGGCTCCTTTTGACCACAGCACTTTGTTTTAACCTAATCCAGACTGTTAATATGTATTGATGATACTTCTGTTAAATTAATGGAAGAGATGAATCTTTCATTTTATCATAGATGGTAATGACTTTTATTTTTTTCTTACAAGCATTTCTTTTTTCTTTCATCTTAAGGTAAAGTAGTCCTGAAAACTTCAATTAACAGCAGTGATTTTCCAACAGAAACTTACCTGTTTGCAAAACGTTTGTTCAGTTTCGTCCTTCTTTCTCTTGGTTTAGATAACCTCAAAATCTCTGACTTTGGCCTGGCCACAGTATTTCGGCATAATAATCGTGAGCGTTTGTTGAACAAGATGTGTGGGACTTTACCTTATGTTGCTCCAGAGCTTCTGAAGAGAAAAGATTTTCATGCAGAGCCGGTTGATGTTTGGTCCTGTGGAATAGTACTTACTGCAATGTTGGCTGGAGGTAAAAGCTGCTCAATCGTGGTAAAGTTCCTGTCCTAAGGAAAGTCAAATTTCTTGCACTAAAATCAAGGAAATAAGCCAAAGGAGTTCATGTTATAATATTTAAAAATTTTTAAAAAATATTTATTTATTTATATTTGAAAGATTTACAGAGAAAAGGAGACACAGAGATCTTCTGTTTGTTGGTTCACTACCAAAAAGCTGAGCCAGTCTGAAGCCAGGAGCCTGCAGAGTCTTCTGGGTCTCCCACAGGAGTCTCCCACAGGAGTCCAAGGATCTGAGCTGTGCTCTGCTGCTTGCCCTGGCCATATACAGAGAGCTAGGTGGGAAGTGGAGCAGGCAGGACACAAACTGGTGCCCCACAGGATAATGGTGCTATAGGTGCAGGATTAGCTTGCTGTGCCACCATGTCAACCTCAAGAAATTTTTTGAGGAATTATTGGCAAAGGGCCAGCAACATGGCTCAGTGGCTAAATCTTCACCTTGTGAACACTGGAATCCTATATGGTGCCTGTTTGTATCCTGGCTACTCTCACTTCCCATCCAGCTCCCTGCTTGTGGCCTGGGAAAGCAGTCGAGGACGGCCCAAAGCCTTGGGATGCTGCACCCACGTGGGAGTCCTGGAGGAGGAGGCTCCTGGCTCCTGGCTTTGGATCAGCTCAGCTCTGGCCATTTTGGTTATTGAGGAGAGAACCAGCAGACAAAAGATCTTGTTCTGTCTCTCCTCCTCTCTGAACATCTACCTTCCCCCTTCCCGCCCCTGCAAAAAAAAAAAATCTTAAAAAAATGAAAAAAAAAGAAAAGGAGAATTACTTGCGAAGCAGAGAGAGAGAGAGAAAAATGCACACTCCCATCTGCTTCTCTCTCTAGATGCCCCCAGGTAACAAGAGCTGGGCCAGGGCTGAACCCAGAAGCCAGAAACTGAGTCCGTGTCTCCCCTGTGGGTGCAGGAATGCATTAACTGAGTTAGCACAGCTGCCCGCAGGGTGTACCTGAGCTGGGCGCTGGACTCAGGGCAGGAGCCTGAGGAAATCCATTCCAGGTACTCCGCTGAGAAGCAGACATCTTAACTGCTAGGCCAAATGCCCACACCTCCACTAGTTACGTTTAAATAACAATGTTGTAATAAATTTGGATTTATGCTCAAAGCCTCATTGGCTAAGTGATTTAGAAACAACAAATTTATATACATTTCTTAGTTCGTGATACTGGAGATCAGTTCAGTGTGTTCTTGTGGGAGCCCTTTTTCTGGCTTCTGAGTAGACATCTTCTGTGTTGTAAGCAGTGTGGAGCAGGTGTGGGGGCAGGAGCAAGTACTCTGAAATGGTAAAATAAGGACAGTAATCTCATTCCAAATGCTGAAACATCATGGGTTAGGATTTCAACATACATATTTTTGTGTTTCAATGTGAAATGTCTGGGGAATGGTTCGCAAACATTAAGTACATTCCAAGTTATAATCTATTTAAATTTATTTATAAAATTCATAATATGTACACAAAGGTTTTTAAGTGAGGTGTGTGTGTGTATATATATATATGTAAGATTTGATTTCTCTTTATTGGAAAGGCAAATTCACAGAGAGACATGGATAAAAGACATCTTCCATCCACTGGTTCACTCCCCAAGTGGCCACAATGGCTGGAGCTGAACTGATTCAAAGCCAGGAGCTTCTTCCAGTTCTCCCATGAGGATGCAAGGTCCCAAGGTTTTGTGCCATCCTCTACAGGGAGCTGGAAGGGAAGTGGAGCAGCTAGGATACAAACCAGCAGGTACAAGAGGATCCTGGCACATGCATGGGAGGATTTAGCCATTGAGCCATTGCACCAGATCCACTTGCTGCTATTTCTTTAAAAATAATTACAGCATCGGACCTGGAGCGACAGCCTAGTGGTTAAAGTTCTTGCCTTGCACACACCAGGATCCCATATGGGTGTTGGTTCTAATCCCAATGGCCTCACTTGCCATCCAGCTCTCTGTGGCCTGGGAAAGCAGTAGAGGACGGCCCAAAGCCTTGGGACCCTGCACCCGTGTGGGAGGCCTGGAAGAAGCTCCTGGCTCCTGGCTTCGCATTGGCTCAGCTTCAGCCATTGAGGCCATTTAGGGAGTGAATCAGCAGACAGAAAATCTTCTCTGTCTCTCCTCCTCTTTGTGTATCTGACTTTCCAATAAAAATAAATTAACCAAAATAAATAAATAAACTCATACAATATTTAAAAAATTACATTCATCTCTTCATGTTGAACACTTTGTTATTTAAATTTTTAAAGTTATTAATTTCCATGGTACAGTTTTGTAGGTATAAGTTTTCCTCTCCTTCCCTCCCTTTTCTCCTTCGCAATAGTCCGCTCTCACCATTCCCTCCATATTAGTGTAGTACTTAAGCAACAGTTACAGGCCTGACATTCTGCTATTCAAGTTCATCGTGGTACTGTAGGTATAGACAAAGGTAGACAGTCTGGCGTCATACTGTTAGCTATCTGTAACAGTTTCACTGGAAGTCCTTCTGTTCAGGAGTAGAGATGCGTAGTACACTGTAGCTTCACTTCCCAGTGTACTGGTCTGCATTATACACAGTCATGTGAACACTTTTGGAAACAATTGGACAGGAAATACTTAGTTTTGTGTCTCTAGAGTTTCTGTGATTGGCATTCTTAGTTTGAAAGCTGTAGTGGAGGAAACTTCATGGATATTTATATAATACTGATTTTTTTCTTGAAATCTTTATAAAGATGTACCCTTATAAAATTAAGACTTGTTTCATTTTTAGAATTGCCATGGGACCAGCCCAGTGACAGTTGTCAGGAATATTCTGATTGGAAAGAAAAAAAAACGTACCTCAATCCTTGGAAAAAAATCGATTCTGCCCCTCTAGGTAAGCAGGTTATCTTGATTAAATAAAAATACTGACTTCTTAGATAATGAAATCTTACACTATTAAGAAAAAAAATACTTTAAGATCTCAGTAAGTAGCTTTTAAGAATATCACGAGTATTATATGTGCTTCTGTATTTTGTTGTAGATACATGTAATAAATGTTTATTCATATATTATAAATAGACTTTTACGAAGAATGAGATTGTGCTACAGTAGCCTGTTTTTTTTTTTTTAAGATTTATTTATTTTTATTAGAAAGATATACAGAGAGGAGAAACAGAGAGGAAGATCATTCGATGATTCACTCCCCAAGTGGCTGTAACGGCTGGAGCTGAGCTGATCCGAAGCCAGAAGCCTGGAACCTCTTCTAGGTCTCCCACGCAGGCGCAGGGTCCCAAGGCTTTGGGCCGTCCTCAACTGCTGGTTCATTCCATCTGCTGGTTCATTCTCCAAATGGCCGCAGTGACCATGGATGACCTGACCAAAGACAGGAGCCAGGAGTTTCATCTGGGTCTCCCACATGGGTGGCAGGGACCCATCTTCTTTTGCTTTCTAAGACACATTAGTGGGGAACTGGATTGGAAGTGAGACATCCAGAAATTTAACTGGTGTTTAGGAGATGCTGGCATTGCAAATAGTAGCTTAATGTACTACACCAGCCTTCAAAATACTATTGGTAAGTTTTATTTCTAAAATTGTGGAAGATGAAGTTACATGAGAATGTGAAATATTGTAGCAATGAAGTTTGATATTAAAAATACTTACAGGGACTTTGTTTTTTGGAATGCAGAACGATAGAGAAGAGGCAGAATGAGAAAGACATTCCATACTCTGTGGTTTACTTCCCAAATGGCCACAGCAGCCTGGCTGTGCCAGCTGAAGTCAGGAGTCTGGAACTCCAGAAGGGTCTTCCACTTGGTTTGAGGGTCCCTAGAACTTGGGCTGTGTTCTGTTGCATTCTCAGACATGTTATCAGGGAGCTGGATCGGAAGCAGAGCAGCCAGGACTTGAACAGGCACCCATATGATATGCTGGTGTCTTGGGTAGTGGCCTAACCGGCTATGTCACAACATTGGCCCCACTGTCTGACTTCTAATCTGAATTACTCTTTTGTGAGTGTTGTCTTCTTGTTTTCATTTCAGCTCTCCTACATAAAATCCTAGTTGAGAATCCATCCGCTCGGATTACCATCCCAGACATAAAAAAAGATAGATGGTACAACAAGCCACTCAAGAAAGGTAATGTTATTAAAATACAAGCATTTTTCTCTGCAAAAAAAAAAAAATGATTACAAATCAACAATAAAAGAACTGTGCTTTCATAATGATTATAATGTCTATTAGGAAAAACAAATATAAAAGTTGATTCTGTTTAATAAAGGGGAAAGAGTGTTAGTGCTAAGAATTTGACCAGATCTCAAAGAATAGGAAGCACATTTCGTCTTAAGGACATTACATTAACTCTGAAACTTAAAGATTAATGTGAGCTGGCTAGTAGATTCTCTCTAACGTTTTTATGATTCCAATGGGATAGGAAATGACATCGTCTGAGTAATGGGGTGATGGAGAAGCTCATGAGAATTTCAAAAGAATGTCCAGGTTTTGGAATTATCCATTTGGGGAAAGAAAAGGAATCTAACTACAGGTTCAGATTGCCCACGAAGAAGGTTCAGCTGACAGTTGTAACAATGAATTTATAGTACCAAACTTTCTATAAAAGGCTGCAGGCCGAGCTAATTTAAAACATGTTTTTGTTTGTTTTTAATTGTATTAATTTGAAGGCCAGAAAGACACAAGAGGCAGATTTCCTCTCAACAGGTTCACTCCCCAAAGCCTTAAATAAACAGATCAGGGCCAGGCCAAGACCAGGAGTAGGGAACTCAGTCTGGGTCTGAGGTGTGGTGGCATAGACTCAAGTACTTAAACCATCACCTGTGTAGAGGCAGAAGTCTAGAATGAGAGGCAGGGTTGAATTCAAACCTGTGTTGTAGTATAGAATGTGAGCATCTAAAGCAGCAGCTTAACTTGTGCTACCAAATTCTTGACACCTTAAATTTTGCAAAAATCTGATTTTCACTTTTTTTTTTTTTCTTTTTAGAAAAAAGGCTGATAATCAGGGGCAGATAGAGAAAGGTCTTCCATCAGCTGGTTCATGCTCCAGATACTTGCAACAGTCAGGGTTGTGTCAGGTCAAGGGCAGGAACCAGAAACACTGTCCCATTTCCCAGTTGGTTGACAGATCCAAGCACTTGAGCCTTCATCTGCCAGTTCCCAGAGTACACTCAAACAAGAAGCTAGAATCAAGCAGAACTGGGACTGAAGCCCAGACATTGCATTATGGGATGTCGGCATCCCAAAAACTATCTTATCTATTTCTTTATTTTTAATTCACTTTTACTGTTGTTTTCATGGTTGGGAAGAATGTATACCCATGTGGGCCACTTCTTAGCGTGGGGGAGAGTCAAGACATAGAGGAAGGTGGGGCAAATTTCCCAGATTTTTTCTTTTTCTCTTGTATCCGCTGGGGGCAAAGATTAGGGGGAGGGGATATTGGCTACTTCTAAAGCCCACCCTGTGGTAAAGCCTTTTTAAGGGAACAAATAATGATGGCAAGAGCAACTAACATTTATTGCTCTTGCCATATTATTTTTTATTTTAAAAAGTTTTGGTCTTACAGATATATTTCACATTCTTGGTAGAACATTGCTTAATTGTGAAAAATACTGTTAACATGATTGTTTTAGCATGATACTCCATACTTGGAACTTACTTATAGGTCATGATTTGTGGAATACCTAATTTGACAAATGAGTCTTAGTTCTTAGGAGATTTGTAACTTGACCACCTTTCTTGTAAATTGATACAAATGTGATTTTACTTCAGATTGCCTACATAGACTATTTGAAAGTATCTGTATTTTTTTTTTTAAGGGGCAAAGAGACCCCGAGCCACTTCAGGTGGTGTGTCAGAATCTCCTGGTGGATTCTCTAAGCACATTCAATCCAATCTGGACTTTTCTGCAGTCAACAGCGCATCTAGGTGAGACTAATGAACAGTGAGAACTGTTAGTGTGGTATATTCATGCTATTAAGAATAATGCATGTATATATTTTTATGTTTATGTATTTAACTTATGTCTTTATATTTTTAATAATATGGTCTTAAAAATGTGAGAATGGTTGTGTGGTAGAAGGAAGGCCTGGCATATTTTACTTATTTAAAGACATATTTACCCTCTGTTTTACTACTCAGTGAAGAAAATGTGAAGTACTCCAGTTCCCAACCAGAGCCACGGACAGGTCTTTCCTTATGGGACACCAGTCCCTCCTACATCGATAAGCTGGTACAAGGGATCAGCTTTTCCCAGCCCACGTGTCCTGATCATATGCTTCTGAATAGTCAATTACTTGGCACCCCAGGATCCTCACAAGTAAGAGAACTGATTTTCCAAACAAATAATGACAGCCCTTTATTTTTATTGACTTAGTGCCTTTTTTGAATATGTAAATTTTAGCTATATAGTATTAATACTTTAATTTGTACATATTTTTTGATAAGGTAAGATGAATTAGAGCAGGCCTTCAGGAAAAATAATTCTGGGTCACAAAAAAAGAATGTTTTAGATTAAATAATTACAATGTGACTGCTTTTGGTTCCAGTAGATTTATTCAACTTTCCTTTGACATATAGAACCCCTGGCAACGCTTGGTCAAAAGAATGACACGATTCTTTACCAAATTGGATGCAGACAAATCTTACCAGTGCTTGAAGGAGACCTGTGAGAAATTGGGCTATCAGTGGAAGAAGAGTTGTATGAATCAGGTATATTTAATTTATTTTCATGATGTCATTTCATGCAGAAAAAGCTAAGTGTTTTTGTAAAAAGTATTTTTATTTTGAAATAAAGTGATGGTTTAGTTTGAAAAGGAAACAGTTAAAATTGGAGAAATTTGAGTAAAAAAATTTTTTACTCAATGAGTATTTGGCCTAGTGATGCCACATCCTGTGTCAAAATGTTAGGGTTCAGTGTCCAGCCAGAGGTCCCGACTCCAGCTTCTTTGTGATGTAGACCTTGGGAGGCAGTGGTGATGGGTCAGCTGATTGGGATCCTACCATCCATGTGAAGACCTGGATCGAGTTTCTAGTTTCTGTCTTTGGCTCTGGCTATGTCCATTGCAGTTATTTGGGAAGTAATCCAGCAGACAGAGCTTTCTCTGAGTCCCTGTGTCACGAAGAAGTAAATACAATTTAAAAGAAAAATAATATTTCTTAAAAGACCTCACTTGGGTTACTAGAAATTAGTAGCTGGAGTCTATTTTCTTAAGAATGTATAGTTCATTAACATTTTACTCCCTTCTAGGACAGAGGAACATAATAACAGTTACTGTACTTTCTCCCATCGCTGAGCCAACCTATCAGTTTTTGTTGTATTACTATAGCAGAATTACAATAGTAACATTCTAAACAATCTTTTGTTCAGAAAAATATCAGTATCATCAAAGACAGAAAGAGGGTATTTTTGTGTGTGAGAGAAACAGAAGAGACCTGATAACTCAGCACAGAGCTGGGTCTTTTCACTTGGTCCGAGATGGGAACAGCACCAGTAATAAGCACCATAAAAAATGTTGCTGAGCATTTGTATAATATGTAATGTTGACATACCAGTGTCTGATTTTGACCATGTGATGAAACAGGCCTGCAGGCGAGATAAACCAGTGTGATGTCTGCAGCTTAGTTTTGGAAACACAAGGGAAGACAATGAAACATGCATATCTTGGTGAATAAGACACATGAAGTATGTGGTGGTGTTAGATTTGTAAGTTTCCAAAATTAAAAATTAGGGGGAAATGTTACTGTGTGGAAATCTAAGACCAGCCTCATTTTCCTGTCACCAATATAGTTACATAGTTGATTCACTTTGTCTTTCTTTTTTTTTTCTTAGCATAAGAGATTAAATTTGTATTACATGAAATTCATCACTTTATATAAAGTGTGCATATTCAGTGATTTTTAGAATATTCACTGGGTTGTGCAACTATCACCTCTAACTTTAAAATATTTCATCCACATAGTAAAAAATTTTGTGTCACTAGCAGTCATTCCTAATTTCCCTACTCCCAACATCTGCCCATCGACTTTCTATCTCTGAGGATTGCCTTTTCTGGACATATAATGTGTTCACTTGAACCTGTCTTTTTAACTTAGCGTGTTTTCAAAGTTCATCTGTGTTATAGCATGTGTAAGTACTTCATTTCTTTTTGTGACTGAGTAATATTCCATTGGATTACTATGATACATTTTGTTTACTCATTCATTAATGGATATTTGTAATCTTCTGGTGCAGAATTTTTTTGTGAACATGTGTTTCCAATTAGTTACATGTGTGCAACAGTGTAATTGCTTGGCATATGTATCCTTATGTTTAACTTTTTGAGGAACTGCCAAGATTTTTCCATAGCAGATGAACTACTTTCTATCCCAAGCAGCCATGTGGGTGAAGGTTTCCGTTTTCTCTGATCCTTGGCGATAGTTTTGGTCTTTTCATTATTCCCATCTTACTGTATGGGAAGTGTCATCTCAATTTTTTTTTTCTACAATCTCAGATTTATTGTCTTTAAGGAACCAAGCTTAACTAGTTTATACATCATTATAGATTACTATAGATCTTTGATCATGTATAGATTATTAGTTTTTAGCAGTAAATAGAGTAATGCAATAAATACACTGAATCCTGAGATTTCTCTGAGTGCAGAAGATGAGACATTTGGAAACCAGAAGTCATTTTGTTTTTCATTTGCATTTCTGTTATTACTAGTGAGCCTGTCCTCATATTTTTACTGGCCATCTGTTCAGAGAAATCCCTATTCAATTTATTGTCATTTTAACTTTTTTTATTGGATTGCGAGAATTCTTTATATATTATGAACACAACTTTCTCAGATACCTGATTTGCAAATATGTTCTGTTTTGTTGGAATTTTTTTTTCATTTTTTTTCCTTTTTTGTTACTGTCTTTTGATTCACACATAAAATTAATTTTGGTGAATTGCATTTTACCCATTTCTTTCCTTTTTTACTTTAAAGATTTACTTATTTGCAAGGCAGATTTTTTTGATGATGTGTTTATTAGACAGATACACAGAGAAAAGGAGAGATAGATCTTCCATCCACTGGTTCACTCTTCATGTGGCCACATGGCTAGAGCCAAGCCTATCTGAAGCCAGGAGCCAGGAACCTCGAACCTTCTCCAGGTCTCGTACATGGGTACAGGACTTTGGGCCATCCTCTACTGCTTTCCCAGGCCATAAGGAGGGAGCTGGATGGGAAGTGGAGCAAACTAGACATGAACTGGTGCCCATAGAGGATGCTAGTTTTGCAGGCAGAGGATTAACTTGCTTTGCAGTGGTGCTGGCCTTTCTCCACAGCAGTCTTATCTTTAATGTAAATGCTTATGGTTTTGAATTTGCTTACCTCTGAACATGGCTCTTTCCTGTCAGTTTTGATATGCCATGTTTTTATTTTTATCCATTATCAATGCATCAAAACAATTTTTCACATTCTTTTATTTATTGGAAAGGTATATCTGTTGGTTCATTCCCCAGTTGCGGTAGTTAGGGCTAGGCCAGGCAGAAGCCAAGAGCCATGCGCCTCATCTGAGTCTCAATGGATACAGGAACACAGGTATTTGGTCCAGCTTCTACTTTGTCAGGAGCATTAGCAGGAAACTGGGTGAGAAGTAGAGCAGCAAGGGATGACAGCACTGGCATTTTAACCCACTTGGCCATAGCACCTGTCTCCATATCCATAACTTTCCTTGTGATTTCTTCCTTGATTCATTACTTACTTATGTGCTTAATTTCCTTCTGTTACTGATTTATAATTATATTTCATTAAAATCCATTTGTGGCCCAAAGTGGTAGTCTAGTGGCTAAAGTCCTCGTCTTGAATGCACTGGTATCCTAGCTTCTCCACTTCCCATCCAGCTCCCTGCTTGTGGCCTGGAAAAGCAGTCAAGGACGGCCCAAAGCCTTGGGACCCTGCACCCGTGTGGGAGATTCTAAAGATGCTCCTGGCTTTGGATGTCTTAGCTGTGGCTGTGTGGCCACTTGGGGGTGGACCAGTGCATGGAAGATTTTTCTGTCTCTCCTCCTCTCTGTATGTCTGACTTTCCAATAAAAATAAATCTTAAAAGGAAAAAATTAAAAATCCATTTGTATAATTTTAGTCTTGAGATTTTTTTTTTACACCTAGCTTGAGGTCTTAATTTGATGGTATTCCAGGTGCATTTAGAAGTGTGTTCTGTTTTATGTTCTGTATATTTTTGTTAGGTGCAGTTGCTTCATAGTATTCCTCAAATCTCATGTTTCCTTATTTGTCTTCTTTTCTCATCTTTTACATTCCTTATTGAGAATTTAGTGTTGAAGTCTTCAACTGTAATTGCTGAACTATTTCTTACTTGAAATCTTTCAGTTTGGCCTAGGGTTTGATTGATAGTTAAATATGAATGGTTTTAATTGCTCAATCAGATTCTTGATGTATTGTGCCTTTTAATATTATATAATGTTATTTTTTCATAACAATTTTTGTTAGTCTATTTTGTATGATACTATGTAACCATACTGATTCTCTTTTTTGTTTATATGGACTGTTATTTTCCTACCATTAACTTTCAGTCTCTGAATCTAAAGTGAATGTAGGCAACATATAATTGAATTATGTTTTGTCTGCTAGTTCATGCTTCTCAATGATTTTTTTTTTATTATTTAAAAATTATTATTTGAGAGGGAATGAGAGCGACAGAGATGGGCAGATAGGGATTTCCTGTTGGCTGACTTCACAAAGATGCTCACAGCAACCCCAGGCTGAGCCAAAGCCCAGGCGTCAGGCGTCAGGCGTCAGAGATGCAGTCTGGCTTCCATGTGGGTGGAAGCAGCTGAGTTACTTTAGCTGTGCCCGCTTCCTCTGAGGTCTCCATTAAGAGCAGAGATAAGGAGCAGAGCGATCCATATTTTGAACCCAGATACTCCAGTGCGGATGTGTGAGTGTTACTTAGGCAAATGCTCACCTCCCAAATTTCTGGCTTTTAATTGGAGAGTTTAATGTTTACTTTCATTATTACTTATTTCATGGTTACTTATAAGTATATTCTCTGATGTTTTCTGCATTTAGGTCATTTTTTCTCAAATTTTCCATTGCGCTTTTGTTTGTTTCAATTGATTTTTTAAAGATGTATTTATTTGCTTATTTGAAAGAGCATCAGAGAGAGGAGACACACACTGAGAGATCTTCTATCTGCTAGTCCATTCCTTCTTGTTATGTTTTCTTGTTTGTTTGTTTTTAACTTTTATTTTAATTGGTAAGCTGGAGTTTTACATACACACGAAGAGGGAGGGGGAAGGAAAGAAATCTTTCATCTGCTAATTCATTTTCCACATAGACTGCAGCATCTAGCTGGGGCTGGGCCAAACTAAAGCTGAGAGCCAGAGATGCTTCCTGGTCTTCATCAGTCCAAATCCAGGAACCAGGACCTCCCTCCTGGTCTTCTGCATGGTTGACAGCAGCCTAAGCACTTGGGTCTTCCCAGGTCCTTAGCTGGAAGCAAGATCAGAAGTGGAGTAGCTAGCATCGTAAATGCTGGCCCCATATTTTTATTTTTACTTGTTTCTTCTTTCAGTTATGATTTGATGAAATGTTAATTCTCTCAGTGGTAAGAATTCACGCAGAGTCTCTGCTCGCGGAACTGTACTATGTTTATAAGTTTGGGTTGGACACATGCAGCCACTGGGAGAAGAGAAATCTGGACTTTCTGCATACTTATTACTATTCTTGGTTTGGAAAGTTTTATCTCAGAAGTATCATTGACCTAAGAACATAGTTTTTGTGAAGAGTATTTTTGCTGTCACAGTATCTCAGCAGACATCCCATATGGGAACTGGTTCCTGCTTGGGTATTCCACTTCCCATCCCGCTCTCTACTTATGGCCTGGGAAAGCAGGGAAGGATGGCTCAACTCCTTGGGCCCCTGCACCCGTGCGGGAGGCCAGGGAAGAAGCTCCTGACTCCCATCTTCAGCTCAGCTCAGCGCTGGCCAGTGCGGCCATTTGGGAAGTGAACCAGCAGGTGGAATACCTGTCTCTCTGTGTATTTGCCTTCCAAATAAAAATAAATATTTAAATAAACCAAGAATATTCTTTACTCATGTCCAGCCTTGCTTCACGTATTTATTTATTTTTGCCTTAGGTTACTATATCAACCACTGACAGGAGAAACAATAAACTGATTTTTAAAGTGAATTTGGTAGAAATGGATGAGAAGATATTGGTTGACTTCCGACTTTCTAAGGTATTTTTAATGTTTCATTTTATTCTTTCTAGTATATTTTTAAGTGGATAATTTTTAATAGCGTTGTGTTTGCATATATTAGTTCTCTCTTAGCTACAATTTCTCTTTTTATAATAAAGTCAATCACAGTAAAACTTCTGGGAGGTAAATCCCAGAAATAAGCAGTTGGGAAGTGTTAAGTGATCCGTGGTTCTGAGTAGCATAGTGGAATCCTGTGTCCTCTGTCTCACATGGGACGGCAATCAGGCCTTTGTCATCCTAACTGAAATAATCAGTCTGATTGAAGACTCAGCATTAAAGTTCATCCAACTAATTAGATTGAGGGTTTAAACCCATAAACAACCAATCACTTGCCCGAGTTGACTGTTCACACAGCCTGAGTTTAGTTTCAGTGTTTCTTACAGAATGAGTGTGTGCCTGAATCAGGTTTGAATAGTATAGATTTTTATATGGTTACAAAACACATTGAAAATTAAAAACATTTCATTAAAACTCCAAGAGTGCATGGTAATATTTAACAGACTTGATTATTGATTAAGGAGGTACATTCCATTCTCACACTGAGTGCTGTCTTTATGTAGGGAGGGGCAGTTAATGGGGTTGCTGATCTTTCTACAGTGGCACAGTGGCCCCGTGACATACAGCTTACACCTATGGTATAGTGGATATTTTCTTGTTCACCTTTAATGTGGAAAAGATCACGTTGCCTGGCAGCCAGAAAGGGACAGTATCCCAGCTGCCTAGATCTTTGCTGGCATCGTTTTATTTTCAAGTGCACAGTAACCCACTTGGTTATCAGATCAATTCTTGTGATAGCATATTGCTTAGATTCAAGTCATTTCTTATTGTTCCTAAACAGTGGCCCCTAACTGCAAAAGTAGTGATGCTGGCAGTTTTACTATAGTATATTGTCAAAAGTGTTTTATAAGATCAAGTAATACATAGAATAACACATTTGATACAACTGCAGTTTTCAACATCCGCTGGGAGTCATAGAATGTATTCTGTGTATTCTATGTATTCTATAAGGGAACTACTTACATGGTGTTTAACATTTATTACAACTTGCTTTTTAGATTTAATATTATGAATAAAAGAATAGCAAAAAACTTTGTGCTGAAATAAAATGATCTTTGGTTGAATTTTCAGACACTTTTTGAGTTAATCTCATTGCAGCTCTAAAGAAGGCTGGAGAGAGTTCACCTTCCCTATGATGGAGATAATGTTGTAATACTGTTTTCCAAGGACTTGCTATAGACTCACTAAGAAATCATCGTCAGAACTCAGTGTGTTGACTTTGTTTCCTTAGTATTATGACAAGTTACGTAATTTGTTTTATTTACAGCTACCTACTACAAGTAGGAATTGACTTAAGTCCACTATTATTTTAAACAGCAGTATAGAATTTTTCTGCTCTCTTGAGTTTAGTTTGGTGGGAACAAAATGCTCAGAAAAATTCTCAGAATTATTTGCGTACCATTTCTTCTACTGGATTGTTTGGTTTCCCTAAGAGGAACTGAATGGAATCGTGGCTGGATTTATCCGAGGATGTTTTTCTTTAATGACCAGTAAATAGAGTTTGATTTTATGACATGACTCTTGACATTGTTTGTGAATATTGTTCCTAATACAGGGTGATGGATTGGAGTTCAAGAGACACTTCCTGAAGATTAAAGGGAAGCTGAGTGATGTTGTCAGCAACCAGAAAGTGTGGCTGCCTGCCACATGATCCACCCGTCGTTTCTGGGGATTCCTCGAAAACTCAGTGCTGCTATGCTGACATTATTCTTCCTGGAGAAGATGATTTCTGTTCTGCAAACTGCAAACAAATAGCTCCTGAAGTGTCCTCTCCCCTTCACCCAAATACCTCCCAGTTCTTGTATGTTCTGCATACAGATAATGTGTATATCTTAATTGTAAGTAAAATTTGGGGAAAGGGATGAATGGATTTCATTAGACACTGCTTTAGCTGTGTTTAGTGTCACAATTCAAAATCTATTGGATGAAAACCTTTGATGTATAAGAGTTTACCAGCATCTATACCAAGATAATATCTCATTTTTACCAGAATGCTTTGTTTCATTCATTTTGTAGCATTTCTTTTATGTTGATGTAATTATAAAGCTGGAGTAGTAAAAGCTTGATCTGTATAACTTAGGGATAGATCTGTCAGTCTATGATGAGGTCAGTTTCAAAAAAATATATATACAAGATTTTACTTAATTTTTAAAAGGGCACGGCTGGTTCCTGTAAACCACTTTTTAAATTACAACTGATTAAAATTGCAAGTATGTGGGATTTTTCCAGTGTAGTTAGTAATGTATGAAATAGTGGTTGCTCTTTCAGGAACAAATTGAGCATAAACTCTAGTGTTTATCTAAGAATTACCGTTGCACACCTTAAATATTTTTCTATACTATTTCCTACTTTCACAGCCATATTTTAATTCTTTACTACAAAAATAAATTCTATTTGGAAAATATCTAACTTTGTGAACTTCCTGGTGGACAAGCTTCTAGGTAATGAGGAGCTGTGGGGGAGGAGGAGTAAGGAAGCTATGATAGGAATAGATTTTAATATATGTACTGCTGAAGCTAGCACAAGAACAGATTTGATTCCTGATTCTTTTTCCTGCAAAATTATTTGTCTGGAGCTGGCGTAGTGTCTGAGTAGACTAATCCTCTGCCTGCTAGCTTTGCATCCCACATGGGCACCAGTTCATATCCCAGCTGCTCCACTTCCTGTCCAGTTCCCTGCTTGTGCCCTGAGAAGGCAACAGTGGAGGATTGCCCAGAGCCTTGGAACCCTGCACCCACATGGGAGGCCTGGAGGAAACCTAGTTCCTGGCTTCAGATTGACTCAGCTCCAGCCGTTGCAGCCATTTGGGGAGTGAACCAACAGATGCAGGATCTGTTCCTGTCTCTCCTCTTATATAAATGTGTCTTTTAGATAAAAATAAATAAGTCATAAAAACTTTGCTTTTCTTAATAAAATGTATTAATTTTTGAATGTGTTGAGGTCATGAATTTCTTCTTAAAGATAAATATAAAATTATTAGTCTGAAGTTAACATGTGAAGTTTATGCCTATTTAACGTATGGTAGAAAATTGTGTTACTGAGATATATCCAGAGGCGTGATAAATTCGTACCTATTTTCTTTATTTGAAGCTGTTTAGGGGACTCCAGAAATTTTGTTCTTCAGAATTGTCTGTGGCTCAGCATGATAGCTTAGTAGCTAAAATCCTCACCTTGCATCTGTCAGGATCCAATAAGGGTTCCAGTTCATAGCCATCCAGCTCCCTGCTTATGGCCTGAGAAAGCAGTAGAGGACGGTCCAAAACCTTTGGACTTGGCCACCTGTGTGGGAGACCTGGAGGAAGCTCCTGGCTGCTAGCTTCAGATCGGCTCAGCTCTGGCCATTGCTTGTGGAGTGAATCACTTGGGGGAGTGAATCAGCAGATGGAAAAATCTTCCTCTCGGTATGAATATCTGCCTTTTCAAGAAAATTAAATAAGTCTTGGGCCCGGCGCGATGGTTAAGTGGTTAAGGTCCTCACCTTGCATGCCCGGGATCCCATATGGGTTCCAGTTCTAATCCCGGCAGCCCCGCTTCCCATCCAGCTCCCCGCCTGTGGCCTGGGAAAGCAGTCAAGGACGGCCCAAAGCTTTGGGACCCTGCACCTGTGTGGGAGACCTGGAAGAGGTTCCTGGCTTCAGATCGGCATAGCATTGGCTGTTGTGCTCACTTGGGGAGTGAATCATTGGGCAGAAGATCTTCCTCTCTGTCTCTCCTCTCTGTATATCTGCCTTTCCAATAAAAATAAAAGATAAATCTTTAAAAAAAAAAAAAAAGAAAATTAAGTGTTTAAACAAAGTTTTGTTCTTAAGGATTGTCTGTGGCCCAGCATGATAGCTTAGTGGCTAAATCCTCTCCTTGCATCTGCCAGGATCCCATAAAGGCACTGGTTCATAACCCAGCTGCTGCACTTCCCATCCAGCTCCCTACCTGTGGCCTGAGAAAGCAGTCAAGGACGGCCCAAAGCTTTGCGACTTGGCACCCACACAGGAGACAGGCTCCAGGCTCCTGGCTTCAGATTGACTCACTCTGGCCGTTGCAGCCAATTAGGGAGTGAACCAGCAGCTGGAAGATCTTCCTCTCTTTGTATTTCTGCCTTTCCAATAACAACAACAACAAAAATCTTTCCAAAAAATTGCGTACTATTAGTATTGGCCACAAAGTCTTCTATTACTTTGATCTCTTCCCAGAGCTTCAGCCTTTTATAGCTACAGCCTGCTGATATTTCTACTTGAATAAGGCATCTTGTGACAAAAAACTCCACTTTCATTCTTATCCTCCAAATTATTTGTCTCCCGGCTCCTCATGCTCGCATCTTTAAATGTTGCTTTCAGCTTCCCCACTTGTTCATCCAAACAATCGTTAATGCTTTTCTTCATAATCTGTATTGAATTCAGCAAATGCCGTTCATTTCCACAGATGTACCCAGTATCTATCCATCTTCACACCTGTGCCCTCGTTGGAGGCAGTGTCATCTCTATGTTCTCTGTCCCTCGTCACTCTATTTTCAGGAAAGAAGTAGGAGTTATCACCCTAAAATGTGAATCAGACATTGCTGTCCTGTTTTCTATTTTCCTGACTTTGCATCATATTTAAGAGAAAAAGGAAAATTCTGTGTATTAGCTATACAGCTTTTTGTGACCACACCCTGGCCACCTCCTTGACTTCATTTGCCACTGTCTTGTATCAGTCATGCCAAGATTGCTGTTCTCCTGAAACACATTCCCTCTTCAGGGTTTTCCCCCTTTTTCCTATGTCCAGAATACTTAGGAATCCTTCATATTTGCTTCATTTTAGACCTCTGTTCAAATGTCACTTCCTCTGCAAAATTATTTTTTAAAATATGTCTTCTTTATTATTTTGATACAGTTCCATAGGCCTTGGTATTTCTCTTACCCCTCTCCAGGTACCCCTCCCCCATCAGTGTTCCCCTACATTATTTCTATAGTATAACTCTTCATACAGTCGTATGTCCATCATCGTGGGCACAGACAATGACAGTCCAGCACCCTATTGTCAAGAGACCGTTAATAGTTTCATTGGAAGTCCATCTTTGGTCTGGAACTAGAGATGTATTCTGCATTGTATCCTCACATCTGGATATGATAGCCTCCATTACACAGTTATTGTACATCCCCTTTAATGAAAAGCCACAATACAATATCAGCAAAAGGAAGAAAAAGAAGCTTACAATGCCATGAAGTTAAATAACACGTGAATAGATATGACAGTCTCCATTACACAGTTACTATATGTACCCTTAAATGAAAAGCCACGAAACAATCAACAACAGGATGAAAAGATGAAATTAAAAACACCATGAAATTAAATGACATACTACTGAATGACTAATGTGTCCCTGAAGAAATGAAAAAGAAAATCAAGAACCTTCTTGAAGAAAATGATGCTACTGTATGATGTATGAGTATTTGAAGAATTTAATGAGAAAAAAAGTGTTTTAAAGAGACGAAACAATCCAAATCCGTGAGGCATAGTTTCCCCTGATCTGTGTTGGTAAGATATGTCTTCTGTAGGCAACAAATAGATGGGTTTTGTTTTTAGTAGATGGGATTTGTGTTTTAATCCAGTCTACTAACCCATGACGTTTAGTTGATGAGTTTAATCCATTTTGAGAGTTAACATGAACAGGTGTTAACTTGATCTGGTCATTTTAGCAATGGCTTGTTTATTGATTTAGTCTGTTGTTATTTTACTGGGATGGTCTTTACATTTGCCTTTGGTTTTGTTGGGTGCTTTTCTTTTTCTCTGTCAATATCTTTAAGTATGCTTTGTAGAGCAGGTTTGGAAGAGGCATATTCTTTTAACTTTTCTTTACTGTGGAAGAATTTTATTTTCAAAGACAAGGAAAAGCTTTGCTGACATTATCTTGGGCTGACAATTTTTTGCTATTAAAACCTGGAATATGTTGCTCCATTCTCTTCTTGCCTGTAGAGTTTCCTGTGAGAGGTCTCTTGTGAGTTTAATTGGCATTCCTTTGTATGTCAGTTGATTTTTTTTTTTTCACATGCACATTGAAGGATCTTTTCCTTATGTTCGATTGAAAAGAGCTGATGATCATGTGTTGTGATGAAGATTGCTTTTGGTTAAGCCTGTTGGGTGTTCTGTGTCCCTCCTGGACCTTGTTTGCCAATTCTTTCTCTAGATTAGGGAAATTTTCCCTCATTACTTCATTGAATACATTTGTAAACTCAGATTCTCTTTCTGCACCTTCTGGGACTATAACCCTTATATTTGGCCTTTTAATAGTGTCCCTTAATTATAGAATGCTTTTTTTAAGCTTGACCCAGCTCTGCTTCCAGGCTTTTTGTTTGTTTCCTCCTGGTGAGAAGAAATATCTTCCAATTCTGAGATTCTTTCTTCTGCCCCCTTAATTCTGTTTTGGAGACTCTCCGCTGTACTTTCAATTGCTCCACTGTATCCTTAATTTCTGATATATCAGCTTTGATTTGATTCATTTCTATTGTGACATGTTCCTTAAATTTCTTAAACTCCTGTATTATGTGCTTTTTGTTGTTGATAAGAAGTTTTATAGCAAGTGTTTTGAATTCTGTATGCCCCATTTTCTTGATGTCTTCCTCAGTGAACCCTGAGCTTGGCAGAGGCTTTTGCTCCTTTGCAGGGGAGTCTTCAGTAATATTCACTGTGCTTTTGTCTCCTCTTTTGCTCTTGGTCATTGTACTTGTGGTTAGCAGATTCTTCTCCTTGGGGTTTGTTTCTAAGCTGTTTCGCCCAAAGGTTTACA